TATAGCTGTTAGCAAGGGAAACAGCCCAAGATGCGAACTGCGAATTGGAAATACCAAAAACAAACAAGTATAACAATATAAATATCTAGGAAGCATTTTAAAAGAGGGTGGAAAATACGACAACGAAATCCGAAGGAGCTTTGGACTAGCTAAAGATGTCTTCCAAAACCTAAGCAAAGTATCAAGGAACAGGAAACACTTCGTTAGTAAAACAAAGAAAAGAGTGATAGACTGTGATGTAATAGCAGTTCTCTTAGATGGTAGTGAATGCTAAACTATCTCCTTACAAATTTTTTTAAGCATTTCACCCCAAGCAAGGCGGGAGTGCCACTTGTACGCAGGGGGTTAATGAGCGTAAAAGGAAAAGAAAAGACTGAGTATATAGTAGATTGCGGAAAGGATAAAAGAAGTACGGGGATCAAGGCATAAGATGATGACGATTGACGTTGCATTTCAATTTTTGAAGATTGTAGTTATCAGGGAAGCAAGCAAGAGGAAGGATGTTCCACTGTTAGGAAATGCAAGAGAAGAAGCTGTTGAAGTAGAAGTGGCGGTTACACTTAACTGCTTCAACAGTAAAAGGGTGGGACCAAGATGTCACCTCAGTAGCACGCTTAAATTCATGTAGTCGGGACACCGGGGGAAATAGCTCGACAGAGCATTGTCATAAATTTAAAAGAAACTGGAGACAACGGAAATTTGCAACTACAGTAGGATGTTGAGAGTACCATGGACTGATCATGTGAATAACAGGGAAGTTTTAAGGAATATGGAAAGAAAAAGAACAATTCTACACAGAATCAGAAACATCACTAGTATTCCTAAGTTAAAGAAGACAGAACTAGCCTTTCCAATCCTTCACCCAATTACTTTGTCCAACTTCCCGGAGATAGATACGAAAAGTAGATAGATAATGAACAGGCTGAGATAGATAGATAGATAGATAGATAGATAGATAGATAGATAGATAGATAGATAGATAATGAACTGATTTAGATAGATAGATAGATAGATAGATAGATAGATAGATAGATAGATAGATAGATAGATAGATAGTGTGTGTGTGTGTGTGTGTGTCCATCTCTGTGTGTATTTGCTGCTAATTTATTCCCGGAGATAGATACAAAAGTAGATAGATAGGTAGATAATGAACAGGCTAAGATAGATAGATAGATAGATAGATAGATAGATAGATAGATAGATAGATACGAATAGACTGCGATATATAGATAGTTTGTGTGTTCGCTGGTGATTTGTTCCCAAATATAGATAGATAGATAGATAGATAGATAGATAGATAGATAGATAGATAGATAGATAGATATGAACAGACTGAGATAGATAGATCTTTTCGATTCATGATTCTCAATTTCCCTTGCCCCATCACGAAAAAATTGAACACCACATTTATTCTATTCATTTTCTTTTTGCCAAATTTCTTGAAGTGAAAAATAAAAAAAGCAAGAATTTCAAACCAACATTCACATTTATTTTTTTTCTCACATTTGTTCAGCTATTTAAAATGTGAGAAAAAAAAAGAAAAAAAAGCTAAAATATTGTTCAAAATGATATCTTCACCTTGCCCAGCCTTCACAAATACACGATAAGGAAAATTTTTATCTTGCTTTCATCGGATAAAAATGAAAAGTGATTTCTTTGCCCATCCCAAGTAGAGACATTCATAATTGAAACGCTAATATAAACATCACTTATGTATCAATATTTAATTAAGGTAAGACATAAGAACTTTCTACAGCGATAATAGTCTTTGATATGAAAGAACTAACCATTACGCAACAGCGAGTTTTCCTATTTACAAACGCTTGGCATAGAACAGTGCAAGAAAAAGCTGGAGCCCACAATCAAGGTCGAGCGCCTCCAAAACGAAACTGCCATCTTTTAATTATCATAAAGAACCATCTTTGACCTCCATCAACATGGCTGATGCTAACCTCCAGGGGAACAAGTCATTACGTCTTTTGCTATCACGTTTTCTGCAGACATGAAGTGATTATATTGAATCAATGACTAGGTCTGCTTCTAAAAAAGATGGTTCACTGTGACGTGTCAGAGACTTTTTCATGCCAAAATCTATCTTACATTATCTGTCTATATTTCTGAGATGAGGTATTATGTACATTATTTACATTATTCGGCGACAAAGATGAGGACAATAGTCCGAATAATGTAAATAATTACACGTTTATAATTCTACGATTCGTCCGTCTATTGAATATTATTTTTAACCTTAACAGTAGCTTCCTCTTCCCTGGGAGATGCAGGTTCAAATCCTGCTGGAGGACATCATTTTTTTTTTCTTTAATAAGATTTCTGGAACATTCCGGTCGGTAGACGAAAATAAATAAATATATTGTTTAATAAATAAAAGGATCGCCTGCTGTAATACAATCATCCGCTAAAACTAATTTGGTTTGGTTTGGTTTGGTTTGGTGTGTTTTACGGCATATCAACCTCATTGGGTTATTTAATGCCAACAACATTTTTTCCTGGTAATATTTTGTTTTGTCAAAAATCTATTTCTGGTAATATTTTTTTTCAAAAATATATTGCTGGTAATAGTTTTTTTTTTTTTTTTTCTTCAAAAAATTATTTCTGGTAACAATTCTTTTACAAAGTATCTCTGGTAGTAAAACCCATTTTTACGCTTTTATGCTTTTTACCTCAGTTTCAGGGTTAACTATTTGCCCATAGCTGGGACCCTAATGGGTGCTACCACCCCAGGTCAAGGTGGAACACCAGCAATTGATCAGAGGCCTTGCTGTTGGACGTAGTTTATCGTCTTAACCAGGACGCTAAAAGTAATGTTTAAAGTGATAAAAAGTTTTTGGATTAATAAAAAATCCATTCTAATATATATATTTTAAATATATTTCTGTATTTGTGATGAAAGAGGACTCACTCTCGGAGATGGAACGTATGCAGATATAAATAGTGTGAACATACCAACACTACACGGTGACTGTCAATATCATGACTTAAAGCGTGAAACTTTCAGTGATTATGCAGTGTTGATTTTCCACCACCATCTCTCACTCTTTCTCTCTTCCTCTCTCTCTCTCTCTCTCTCTCTGAATATACATACATAGACACATACACACACACTCACGCACACATGAGTGTGTGTGTGTGTGTGTGTGTGTGTGTGTGTGTGTGTGTGTGTGTGGCTGGATACTTTCCGGACAAACCTCATAAATTTCATTTTGAGCAATTTTTTCAATGACTTTTCTTAAATTTCTTTTTTAAGTTTCCCAAATGAACCATGTTCATTGTTACACGAAATTCTTATTATCAATTTTGACTAATCTTTATTAGTCACAAGAAGGCATAATCCATGACTATCAGTAAATGGATGATCCTTAAATACGATTCACGGGTCGGGGACACTGAAATCAAGCAGGTGCGGAAATTAAAATATCAAGTTTTGACAAAGGACGGCAAGTGCGACGCTGAGATCCGAAGACGTATTAGGGATGGCCGAAAAGGCATTACAAAAGCTAGTATTAAGAGACAGGAGGATTTCTTTGGTAACGAAGAAAAGAGTGCCGAGCTGCTACGTGAAATCTGTCCTCCTTTACGGCAGCGAATGTTGGACGATCTCGTCAAAGATGAAGAAGAGACTCGAGGCAATGGAAGTATGGTTCTACAGAAGGATGCTAAGGATATCATGGACCGAGTGTTTGAGAAACGATGAAAGGGTGCCAACATGGAGGAAGCATATAATTAACATCAGGAAGAGGCAGCTGAAATTTCTGGGATATTTAATGAGAAAGATGGGCTTGGTGAATCTAATACTCACAGGTCGAATAAAGGGAGAGAGGAACAAGGGAAAGCAACGCATGACATACCTGGCGGGTGGATGGCAGAATATGGCCTGGAGAATGTAGCAAAGGAACAGAACGTATTGAGAGCTATAAGTGATAGGGGGGAGCGGAGAGCCATGATCGCTTACGCCCTGAAGGGACACGGCACATTTTCATCTCAACCCTTTTTAGCCGATCAGTTCTCCGACTGTTAAATTAAACACGCGTGCTGTAATTTGGAATAAGGAGTATTACATGGTAGTTAAGGCGTCGCCCATGAAAGACGTTCTCCCAACTCTCTTTTTTCCGAGTTCTCGCATTTAACTCACTTTGAAATCACGCAAGATAGCCTCATAATTCTTAACTACAAAATCACGATACGATTCAGTATCAGCTGAACTTGATTTTTTTTTTAATGTCGTATACTTTCTGAAAATAGGCCGCCAAAGCTCTTCCCACCTTTTCTTTAAGAGCCGTAAATTACTATAACTTCTTAAGGGATATATCAAAGTTATTTTTTTCCACGTTTCCTTCTGCACGGATTTGAATTCGTCGTTGTCCTTTACCTAGAGGTCTAGGTCTACCCTGATATAGCCTGGGAAAGAGGAGATGGAAATATACCTTCCCCTAGTGCGAAGTAAACACAAAAGATGCGGTCAAAATTTGACCTCGGGTCAACGATTCCACTTTCTGCACCAATAACCATTCCGCTACCCGCACAGATTGGATAATCAAACGTTAATTAAGGAAGTCTCTCACTTATCAGTAAATATATTTACAGAAAAAATAGTTTTAAGTTTTATTCTACCTCAGAGAAATTCCAACTCTCAATCTTGTTTAATAGTCATTGAAAGATTTGTAAAGCCAATGATCCTTCTGGACAATAAATGATCGGAGAATGTCCTTTAAAACGTCGTGGACTAAATACAAAGGAAAGGTTTTCAATAAAGAAGATGACATTACAAACTATTGATCGGCCATATTGCTAGAAAGTTATGCGTAAATCAGTTTCAAATTCACAGAGATGCACAGCAAGCAAAACGCTACTTCCGGTTAAACACATTTTTGTAAAGAATGGAATCATGTCTTCATAAATAATGAACAAGTTGCATTTAACGACACAGAATAGATTAAATAAGCAAATTTTCAAAAAAGAAATGAATGACCTTTATGTGAAATATGCAAAGTGAGAAATATTTCAAAAGCAAATCTTTAAGCGACAAATGAAAAGACAATATCGTCCTGGGTATGACGATAAACTACATCCAACAGCAAGGCCTTTGAACAGGAGGTTTTGAGAAGCATAGAACCACCTCTTAATTTCTGGTGTTCCACCCTGACCCGGGGTGGTAGCACCTGTTAGGGTCCCAGCTATGAGCAAATAGTTAACACCCAACTATGGTCAAAGCTTGTAAAAATAGGTTTTAATAAAAGCAAAACATTTTTGTAAAAATTATTACCAGTAATACATTTTTGAAGCATAATATTACTAGCAGTACATTTTTGAAAGAAAAAAATATTGCCGGCAATAAAAAATCTTATTGGCATTAAATAACCCATTAAGATTGATACGCCGTAAACCAAACCAAAAGACAATGGCAGTTTCTCACCGTTTCAATCTTACGTTTTTTTTTACTTTCGTGATTTTCTTTTCAATCTTTTCTTTTTCTTGTTCATTTCTCTTTCTTTATTCTTTCTAGCTTTCTTTATTTTTTTCTTATATCCTCTTTCTTTTGAATTCGTTCTTTCTCCGTCTTCTTTAACTTTTTTCATTGTCACTATTTCTTTCCAATTTTTATCTGACTCGTTTTTTGTTTTTTTTCTGCCATTATTTTTCTCGTTTATTCACGATCACTATATTCTTTTTCTCTCTCTCTCTTCTTCCACTTGTTCTTTATTCTTCTGTCTACTTTCTTTTCGTTTTCTTTTCACTGTCACAATTTCCTTCTTAACATCTTTCTCTGGATCTTTATCTTTCTGTTACCTTTTTCTTTTTCACTATTCTCTTTCTTTCCCTTTCTTAATATCTTATTCTTTTCCTTTTCTTCTTTTGTTTCTTTTTTCTTTTCCACTATTTTCTTTCTTTCTTTTTCTTAATATTTTTTCTTTTCCTTTCTTTCTTTTGTTTCTTTTTTCTTTTCAACTATTTTCTCTCTTTTCCTTTCATATCTTTTCTTTTACTTTCCTTCTTTCATTTCTTTTTCTTTTCCGCTATTCACTTTCTTTCTCTTTTCTTAATATCTTTTTCTTTCCATTTCATTCTTTTGTTTCTTTTTCATTATTTCTTTTTAATGTCTGATTTTCTTCTTTTCCTCTTTTACGATATTTTTCCCGGTTCTTTCCTCATGATTTTCTTCCTGCATTTTTTTTTTTTAATTTCTTTTCAGAGTCCTGTTGCAGCCACCTTGTTGTCACAGAGCAGGACTACCTCCTCAACGCATTTGATGTAAGCTTCTGTGTTGAGTCCGAGGCCCTGTGGGAAGATGAATGGAGGCGTAACGTCACCATCACTAGTGATCAATACAAACCTTCGTAATCACCATTAGACTCATCCAACTCTTTTCGAATCTTTCTGAACTGTCCTCAGGTTCACATCTAAACTCTTTGAAATATTCGTATTGGAGCTTGCAGCGCGAATGCCAAGCAGTACAGCATACTGGGTAAATTTTTAATTTCGCGCATGCGCGTTCTTTGTTTTTGATTTTGTCGACTGCTCAGTATAGTAGGGTCAGTTGGGCACTGTCTGGGAGAAAAAGAGTACCCTGACGCAATTCACTCCGCCAAAAATTACAAGAGGATCTGATATAGAAAAAACCTATGTGTGCTGCTGCTGCTGAGGAGTTAAATGGCAGTAGAAGTTGGTTCGATATTTTTAAAAACAGAACTGGTATATATAGTGTTTGCTCTATTGTGTTGTGTTGTTCTACGAAACCTTAAGAATCTATAAATCTGTTTTTATTGACAAAAAATCTTTTTGCAAAAGAAATGAAAAAAACTATCTATTTCGCCCTACAATTGTTGGTTTAAAATATTTTCTTAATATACAAAAATGTCTATATCCGTTTGTTGTGTATTTAAAATAAATCTTTTTGTAAAATAAAAAGAAAAGTATGTTTTCAAACACAGTATAAATGGTACATGCACATTTTCATTGTAAATAAAACCTAAGTGCTGGACCACCCTTCTAAATTGATAAATTTAATCAGAGTAGATAGACTCACCTATAGTCCGTTTCCTCCACTGTTTTCTGAACAGAAGTAGAGATTTATCCTTTGTTTAGGATTGGGGTTCCATTTCCTTCTAAAGTCTTCGCATTTTCTTTCACTTCCCATAGACCCACCACCCACTTGCGTCCTAGTAGCTTTATTGACTTACTTGGGGTGAATTGATAAAAAAAAGACAGTCCTGGGAATTGACAAAGCTTTATTTAATAATCAAATTCAGAATAATAATAATATCTTGGCAAACTTGGACATTCGAGTCCGCAAAAAAATGGAATGTCGAAAGGACCGCTTTTCCATTGATACTGCTATTATTTTAACTACCTTCACTCCTCAGCAATGTCTATTGTTTTAAAAACAGATGATTAGAATTGCAATAAAATCTAAACATATGAAAGGGAATTATACATTTTTTCTTAAGAATTTACAAGAAAAATATTAAACAGTATTTATTTATTAGGTGGTTTAGTTACAAGAATAATGTTATGTTTATATTCTAAAATCGAATGCAATTAAAATTAAGGCAATGCAATAATTATTATTTAACAATTTATAAAGAAATAAATATGAAAACAATTTTTTTATTTATAAACATTAACTAAATTATTAAAATATGTGAACCAACTATAAAGACATCCTTATTATTTACCATTTTATAAAGTTCGAATCGATTATCAATTAGCCGATGATTTGTTAACCATTCCAATAAACAATCTAATAAATAGATAGTGTTATTTTGTTGTCTGTCCTCAAGAACAAAGAAAATGTATAAATTCACTTTCATATGTTTAGGTTTTATTGCAATTCTTATCATCGCTTTTTAAAACAATAAACATTACCGAAGAGTGAAGGTAGTTAAAATAATAATAGCAGTGTCAATGGAAAAAACCGTCCTTTTGACACTTCGTTTTATTTTACTAATGCCGTCAGCTTTCAATAGCCGATGATGTCTCTCCACAGCGTCCTATGTAACACTGATCAATGGTTTCTCTTTACTATCTTTCCTAATCCCCTCATTACCAACTATTTACAGAAACACGTTAGGATATTTGACGCTACTCGTTCTTTCCCTCAGTCCTTTGCTTTCAGTATAGCCTGTGAATGTTAAATTCTCCAAACCCTCTTTCTTCATTATATGTCACAAAAATTGAAACTGTCTCTTTCTGATTGTAAGTATAAATCTCCATTTTTGTTCCCATTTTCCATAAAGCTTAATTTCGAAAAAGTGATCCCAAACCACATATATTAATTTAATATATTTGTTTTTTGTTTTGTTTTTTTGTTTTTTGTTGATTATATCATCATCATTTGTCGACCGTAGTCGGGATCATTGAGCCAATGCGAACGATCCTTTCTTTAGCTGTATAGTATGTGCTATGTCAGGGTTACATACTATTTTTGAATTCAGAGTTACTTTTTCCTAGACTGGTTGCCATCCAAGGCTATAGAACCCCGTCTGTTCTGCTATTTACACAATGATAAATATGGATAGCTTCAGTTTCACACTCTAAAACCTTTCCTAATTTTAAATAAAAGGTGTGATTATACACAGAATCAGAAAGAGACAGATAAATTTCTGGGAAGCATAACGAGAAAAGAGTGTTTGGAGAATTTAACACTCACAAGATATACTGAAAATAAGCGTGGGAGAGGGAAACAGCAAGTATCCTAACTAATGACTTTGTGCAAATAGATGTCAGAAAAGGGGTTGGCATGGATATTAAAAGGATAAATATTGTTTAGAGCTACTAAGGATAGGAAGTTGTGGAGAACCATGATCGCCCAAGTCACGAAGGGACACAATATGTAAAAGAATATGAAGAACAATCATTTTTTATCCAATTTTTAACGGTATGAGTGAGTGAGTGAGTGAGTGAGGTGCAGGCGCAGCAGACATGAATAGAAGGTGAGAATTGTACCGGCTGTTGCTTTTTTTTAAGCGGATATTGACAGCAAACACGAAATAAGCATTATATCATAAAAAGCTGAATAAAAAAAAAACTGTCATAAATACCTCCGTTGCTTCGCATTTTATTTTTTTATCTTTCACAAACAAGCATATAATAATAATTCTATTCATTCATCTTAATTAAGAAGAGAAAATAAATTAGCATTCGTGGAATTCAGGCACAGATCTGATTGGTTGATTCGTGGAATCAGAAAGGAAATACGGTGACACGTGTGAACTTGAGCTATTCAACATAACAATAATGAGAAGATCTGCCAGGTCACAGATGTTTGAGCAGCTGGATGATCGGACTTTGTCTTTTTTTTATTTGCTCGGCTGAATTGTGTCTTTATAAGGATTGAAATTGAACATCATCTACGCACACACACACACACACACACACACACACACACACATATATATATATATATTAAGAAATGGACAAAGTCCGACAATTTATTTATTAAAGACATTTTTATGTTTAACGTTGTTTTTTTTATAGATACAAGTATTTAAGTAAATGCTCTGTTTATGATAAACAGTATTAAATAACATTTATCGGCCTGAATGTCCGAGAAATTTTCATAGAAAATATTCGTCCTTTGACAGGATTCGAACCTTGCCTACCGAACGCTCCTTTGTGGCCGATCGGATAAGGCACGTCAGCGTAAATGACGGTTCCTTACTCTACTTATTGAACTATTTAGTTCATGCCACATTGTTGACTGATAAACTCCTACAACAAAAAATTCTCAAATTGCCATATTAGTAAAAAAAACGCACTCTCTTAAATATTCAAAAAAAAAATTCAACCTTAGCGTTGCGACTGCACGCTCCATTCTCAATAAAACATTTCAAACAAACATATTTCGATTCGCATTATATTTTTCGTCTCGGATGCTACTTGAATTTTACCAAAAACAAAATAATTTCCATGCCTGAAGATGACTGAATGTACAGTCGAAAGTACTTACGTATTAAAGAAAGACTTTTTGCAGCTTATAATTTTAAAAAACAAGGATCATAATATTCATAGAGTGATTAGTAGGTTAATGCATATATTTCCTGGTCTAATTCAACTCTGACCATTAATAAATATGTGTGTGTGTCTCTCTCTCCCTCTCTCCTCTCTCTCTCTCTCTCTCTCTGTGTGTGTGTGTGTGTGTGTGTGTGTGTGTGTGTGTGTGTGTGTGTGTGTGTGTGTATAATAAAGTTAATGGTCAGAGTTGAATTAGACCAAGAAACAATAGTATTAAATGTGCGCAATACACATATAAAAAATAAAAAATTTAACATTTAGAGCTTTTAAGTATAAAAAATTAGGAGATCAGCAGATCCTGTTACGTTCGTTTCATCCTTTCGTTTCATCCTTCAGGTGATTTCGGTCAATTGATTTCCTAACGCTTTAATCTAAAAAAAATTATGAACGGTGTATTATTTAAAAATAAATAAATAAGCGCACGACATAAGGTGTGACAGAAGGTGAGGAGGAGGAAAATAAGTGTATTGTAAATGTATCGATGGTGGGAGCGAGGGTAACTGAAATATACATCCTTTCTTTTCATCCCACTTCATATGAACTCAAAACGAACTTTTTAGTATGTATACAACGGGTCATAATTTCCGTTCACTCATTCAAAAGGTTTTTCGATCAGGAAATGTTACTATAGCTAACTTTTCTTGTTGACAAAAGATTGCAGATATATATATATATATATATATATATATATATAGAGAGAGAGAGAGAGAGAGAGAGAGAGAAAGAGAAAGAGAAAGAGAAAGTGCGATGGGTAAATTGTCACCATTTTATTTTTTTAATATCGCGCATGCGCGTTGTTTTTTGGGGTTTTTTTGTATTTTGTCGATTGCACAGTATAATAGGGTCAGTTGGGCACCGTCTGTGAGAGAAAGAGCACCATGACGCCATTGACACCGCCAGAAGTTTGGAAAAGGTATGCTGTACTGCTTGGCATTCGCACCGGAAACTCCAATACGAACATTTCAGAGTAATTGGATGTCAATTTGAGGAGAATGCAGAGGATTTCGAAAGAGTTGGATGAGTCTAATGGTGATTACGAAGGTACGACAGCTCGGAAAACTCACTCTGATAGTTCTGATAAGAAATGAACC